TTGGACGTGGGGCTTAGAAGCAGGCGGGGGAGAAGGAGTTGTTGCCGGAGCTGAGACCAGGCGGCCGGAGTCCGCAGGGATGAACCTCGAGTTGCTGGGTGAGGAGGCTATGGCCGCGTGTTAGAGAACCCTTTGGTAGCGGAAAGGAGGGAATGCGGGCGGGAGGGGACTTCAGTCTGCAACCTTAGGAACACTCTTCTGCGATGGTTCATTGGGAGCTCAAGGTTTGGAGTTGCAGCAGCAGGAGGAAGCCCAGCTTCTGCTAGAGTAGATTGCATCACCTTTCCAAAGCCACTTTCAGGTCACTTGTGAAGTAATTGATAAGGACAGACACTTTGTGACTTAGCTGTGATTACAAGGATCGCAGGTACTAAGTATCTCATTGCAGGCTGGACCACAGTTGTTGGATTTGCAATCTGAGGTGCCAGGACAGGTTAAACTTTTTATAGGAACACGAGATGTTTAAGGAGGGAACTTAGCTTCTAGTAGAAGTCTCCCATTGAACAGATTTTAGAGAGGGGGCGGTGGGGAAAGCAAGCTCAAAGTCGTGACTAGGCTGTAAACAAGTAAGTGGCATAGTTGACACTGGAATTCAGTTATCCCCAGTTTAAGATCCTTAACTACCAGGGATGGAGTGCAAAATACTGATGTGTGAACTATAGAGGCAGTCGCTTTTTGACATCTTTTCAAGTCATTTTCTCTGTGCCTCTTACCTTCTTTGTATTAGATAATCTTTAGCATGGCAGCCTAGGGATGTCTGAGGTTTGCTGGAACTCCTGCAGAAGTTTTCCAGAACTTACTGTCTGTAAGGTTAGATTTCTCTTTTAAAAAGAGTCTCAGAAGATGTGCTGATTGTCCGAAGGGCTACAAAGATAACCTAAGGAGTGGTCTTGACCTTTAAGGACCTTTTTGTTAAGCAGGGAGTTTAAGCTTATTATGTAGGTAGCCATAATATATTGTAGAACATAAGTCTGTTAGAGTCATTACTAAGTGTTATCACTTAGACAAAGGAGTGAATAGCTTTGGGGGATAGAGAAACCAAGGCAGTCAGGAAAAACAACCCCCCCAAAAACAGTAGAGGAGTTGGCTGCGGTGTGTGTGTGTGTGTGTGTGTGTGTGTGTGCATGTGTGTGTATGCTCATGCACAGGTGCTGGGGATTGAACCCAGGAGGTAGAGTTCTAAGTGGATATTTAAAATTGGTAAAATACTGATTAAGTATGAAGATATGTGAAGGAATGTTCACTAAGAATATGTTTGAACTAAGACATCAGTGAGAGTAGACCTAAAGAATTTTCCTGCTTGGCCAGAATTTGGATACTTTGATAAGAGAAGACCAAGAGATGGATTTGGTGTTGTCTGTTTTGTGGAGACTCTTGAATACGAAGCTGGAAAGTTTGATTTTTAAGGAAGGTGGGGCAGATCCATCGAAGAGTTTTGACCTAGTAAGTAACTCAATTGGAGCACTGATTTATAAGGTTTATCTGACAGTGATGAGTAATTGAATCTTGGAAGAGTATAAAACCAGTTTGGAGGCTATTGCAGATGAATGATGAGAAGGTCTGAGCTAGGAAATGGAAAGAAAAGGCATTGAGAATGTAATGTTGACAGAATTTGAGAATTCATTTCATAGAATAGTGAGAAAGTGAAATGAAAAATGATAGTCACAAATAATGGTACTATTGATAAAATTTAAGAACATTTAAAGACAGCTTGGGATATGTTGAGTGTGGACTGACAACTCAGGAGAGGTTTGATTTATGAGATTTATAATCATTTTAGAGGTGGACTAGTTGAAACGTTGTAAATAGAGGACATGACCAAGGGCGAAAGTGGGAGAGGCAGAAAAGGAAATTGCCAAGGACAGGATCTTGGATAATTAACTACATTCAAGGGGAAAGAGGATGAATGAATGACTACAAATTAGCTAACAGTTATATAGTACTTACTGTGAGCTGTGCAAAATTTCAAGTGTCTTCTATATATTTTTCCATGTCAAGGTAGAGGAGAATACAGGCTAGTGTGATGCCTTCCCAAGGAAACCAGTTGTAGAGCAACTGAGATTGAAAGCAGAAAGGGTCACTTAAGTTAGCTTGGGCCCCTCAGCAACCTCAGCTAAATCCAGATTATAGTGATTTTAGGAAGGTGTGGGAGACAAAATAGAGACAAGGGTTGACCCTTATTTTTAAAGAGTAAAGGTGATAGGCTAGTTCTTTGAAAGAGATATCGGGGTCATAGGAAGGGTTTTTCTTGAGTGATAGAGAAGACTCGAGGGAATATTTAGCATTAGAAGGTTAGACAAGTCTAAAGACGTCTGGGTCCCAAAACATAAAAAGCTCTGTAGAAATGACTAAGTTTTAAAGTAAGAAAGTTAATGCTTATAGCTAAACAGAAGAAGGACAGAGTGATGTAATTGTGGGAGCATACTAAAGGACATCTGGCCAGATAAAGGAACTGAATGATAATGGGTTGTTAATGTGGCCACTCAGGTGGCCCATTGGCAAGTTATTAATTGTACTTCAGCCACCACTTTTTGAGCTGCTGTTATGTATCAGGTGGTATGCACTGGAGACACAAAGTTAGTAAGACAGTCCCCATCCCTCAAGCCAGGGCCTTATATACTCTGGTCAGATGCTCTACCACTGAGCTACACCCTCAGCCCAAGACGGTTCTTTTTTTTTTTTTTTTTTTTGGCAGTACTGGGGCTTGAATTCAGGGCTTTCACCTTGAGCCACTCCACCAGCCCTTTTCGTAAAAGGTTTTTTCAAGATAGGGTCTCATGAACTACTTGCCCGGGCTGGCTTTGAACAGTGATCCTCCTGATCTCTGCCTCCTAAGTAGCTAGGATTGCAGGTGTGAGCCACCAGCACCTGTCTCCAAGATGGTTTTTCAAATTCATTTCTACCACAACTTATAGTAAGAAATATATTCTTTATCACAATGCATTATATATACATACACATATAACTAGACTCAATCCTTGTTATGTTCAGGGTCCTCTGATATCTCCTGATCTATTAAAAAACTTGTGACTTAATATATCAATTTATCCATTTATGGTAGATTGAATCCTACTCTTTGAAAATCATTAAAGTAAGATACTGTCTTTGCCCTGGATAAGTAACAGAGCTAGGAGGAGAGACTAACATAAACAAGTAACTGTATAATATGGAATCATAATAAATTAATACATTGTGGGACTCCAAATGAAAGAGCAGCTAATTCTGTGGTGTTGGTGGGGTTGGCTGTAGAATTTGGGGGAATTTTACACAAGAAGTTCCACTTAGGACATTAAAGGTTGAGTAGAGGGTTGAGACTGTAGCTAAGTGGTAGAGAGTTTGCCTAGCATGTGAAAGGCCTTGGTTTTGACCCTCACACCACCAGGAGGACTTTTCCAGAGGGACGGGTTAAAGAAAGTAACTTCCAGTGGAGAGAACTGCTGTTGGGGCAAACATTCCAAGGCATGAATGTGTGTGTTGTGTTCAGGAAATGACCAGCTTGCACCTGGTGCTCCGGGCGGGTCTTTGAGGTCCTGTTCTAGGTGCCTGTAGAGAATTAGCCAGAGATAAAATAATGGAAAATACTGGTCAGTGCCAGATTGAAACTGTTTTTGTTTATTTTTTTCTTTTTTGAGACAGGGTCTTGCTTTGTAGCCCAGGCTAGCCTACAACTTGCAATCCTGCCTCAGCTTCTCCAGTGCTGGGACTACAGAAAGGGACCACCATACCTAGCTTGAGAGAGAGAGAGAGAGAGAGTGTGTGTGTGTGTGTGTGTGTGTGTGTGTGTGTGTGTGACATTCCAGGCCCTTGAAATTACTTTTAAAAACTTTACATAGGAGTTTTGCACGCTGTTTAGCAAGGAAGATATTAAGCAGGTGAATGACACGATGTGGTCTAGGGCATATGAACTTGACTCTGACAGCTTTGTGAATGACTTACTGGGGGAGGCAAGACTGGAGCCAGGGGAAATGTAGCAGTTGTGGTAGTGCTGGGAGGAGGAAGAGTGGCATCAGTTATCAGGACACCTGTAAGTTTCATTTCTCTAAAAGAAACACTGGCAGAACCATCATCTGTTAGAGGAAGCAGAATGGAAAATGCTCCTGCAGACTTACACTTACATGAAGTAGAAAAACTAGTACTATTAGGAGAAAAGGTCTCTGAAATTGTAGGGCTTGTGGCAGCCAAGTGTTTAAGGCGGCGCATATTAAGAAATTCAGACAGTAGGCATTATTCCATGTGATGAGACTGGAAGGAAGAAGGCTTGAGGGGCTTGGACAGTTTGGAGAAAGAATCCTAATAGGAAAAGGAGGATCTAAAGAGGTACCCGAAGAAACTGGTGTGATTGTGCTGAAAGTTGTCTAAACTCAGATGTACAAAAGAGGGCACATAGCTGAAGGTGGACACTGGAGGGTGGCATAGACTTTTAAGAATAGCGGTAGAAAAGCTAATGTGATTGAAAGCCAAGATTGTAAAAGTGAGGCAACGAGAGCATGTTACATGGAGCATGAAGAAGTTTTGGGGTGGAAGGTGTAACCCCAGAGATACTCATTCAACACTCAAATATCTTTTGTGTGATACTAAGAGCTTTATAGGCAAAGGGTAAGTGGAATGCTATGTTCTTATTTTTCTTTTGGTTCTATGGCAAAAAGGATAATTTTTTGGAACAAATGAAGTGAATAGTGATGGTGCCAAGAAAAGCCCTCTGTAGATGGAGATTTTAGGTAGGTCACTTTGCTACACTGCATAGCTCAGTTACATTCCTTGGCCCTGAAGTAGCTCACGCATGAAATTATGATGACCTGAGGATTTGAAGAGGAAGGAAGACATGCTGAAAGGAAATGGGTAAATTTTGACTTTTAGTAAAAGGCAGGTGTGTTTCCTAAGTTGGAGTAGAAACCTTGAGGTCAAATTCAGGCACAATTCTAGAGGCTTTTTGTTGCAGTTACAATATAGTCAAAAGTATGGTCTCTTTATTTCCTCTTTATTAGCATATAATAGTTATGCTGGGGGTTTCATTATGACATTTCCATATATACGTACCACGTACCCTGGTTAGGTTCATCCCCATCATTATTCACCCTCATTCCCCTTCCCCCTTCTT